GGAGAGCTGACTTATATAGACAAAGGTCCCCGCCCTGTTCTCTGATTGGTCGGTCCTCATGCAAATGAAGACTCCAAATCCTCACAGTTTGATTGGTCAGAAAGGCACTGATGAAAATTGCTGCTCCCGAGTAGTAACTTTCCTGGTTTTCAGGAAAATGCTTTTTTTTTATACGTGTCCTCTGCCCTTAAAGTGCACATTACCATCATCCCCACTTTTATGGGCAAGAAACTGAGTGCTTGGGAGGTTAAAAGACATACCCAAGGCCGAGGTAGTGTAAGTGGCAGGGCGGATTAATAAGCCCATACTTTGTCCACAGACTGTCTGTAATAACTGCTATCATGAAAGCTCAGACCAGCAATTTGTTTAAATATGTAATGCACAGAGCAATTAATAGAAAACTACTACTGTAGTGTATTTAGTTATCTTGACCATCACTTCTCCCTACCACCTCGCCTCAAAGAAGCTGGACTTGTCTGAGAATATAAAATGTGATCTCTCTTACAACCGCATCTAATACAAATAACAAAGAAACACCAATGGCTTGTGGCAGCCTCACAATTTTATTTAAAAAAAATTTAAAAAGCAAATATAACTTACATACCATAACATCCACCCTTTTGAAGACAACTCAGTGCTATTTTTTTTAAGTTTCTTTTATTTTTTAAAATATATTTTATTGATTTTCCACAGAGAGGAAGGGAGAGGGATAGAGAGTTAGAAACATGGATGAGAGAGAAACATCGGTCAGCTGTCTCCTGAACACCCCACACAGAGGATGTGCCCGCAACCAATGTACATGCCCGTGATCGGAATCTAATCTGGGTCCCATCAGTCCACTGAGCCACACCGGCTAGGGCTGAAGCCTCTTTCCTTCAGGGTACAAGAGAACTACAAGATAGATCCAGAGATCCCAGACACAACTGGAGCCATCAAGTGTAGTGCTGCTACCATAGTCATAAAAAGGAAACTGCTCTGCAAGTAGTAAGAATGTGACATGTAAGGCCATGGCCGGAGAGCTAAGTTGATGAGAGTGTCATCCGAACATGCCAAGGTTGCAGGTTGGATTCCTGGTCAGGACACATAAAAAGTCAATCAATGAATGTACATATATATGTACACTTGATCAAAGTCAATCGAAAGTGTTATGGGCATGATTCTCCCTTATTCTTTAATACTGGGTACTGCCTAAAAAAAAGGACAGTCTCCAGCCAAACCACAATATTACAAAATCAAGAAATTAACACTGATATAATACTGTTATCTTTTTTTTTTAAATATATATATTTTATTGATTTTTTTACAGAGAGGAAGGGAGAAGGATAGAGTTAGAAACATCGACGACAGAGAGACATCCATCAGCAGCCTCCTGCACACCCCCCACTGGGGATGTGCCTGCAACCAAGGTACATGCCCTTGACCGGAATCGAACCCGGGACCTTTCAGTCCACAGACCAACGCTCTATCCACTGAGCCACACCGGTTTTGGCAATACTGTTACTTTATTCTGGAAGTTGTAGAGGTGGATTCCCGTCAAGACTATGGGTGAAGTGAACTCTTCTCAAGGTTCCTCTCAGCCACCTCACACCAATTATTCTAACTAATATGTATTAGAATGACTTACAGGTGGGAAAGACAATAAAACATTTTGAATTCAGAATGGATCTGTTCTTGGCATGCCTGCATCTTACAAGAGTTGAATTTCTTCAAAAGTAGGATCATCTCAAAGATTGAGCACCTATTCTAAGTAGTGAATTACCTCAGATTCCCATTTTCAGAAGCTCACCTTCAATAGCTGAACTACGCCCTCAATCAGGAGCAAGAGCTGCAAAATGGATGGGCGTTCTTCCTTCAAATCATTCAACAGATATTTGTTGAGCCCTGACCAGGCAGTTCAGTTAGAGCGCTGTCCCAGTACCTGAAGGTCCCCGGGGTCAGGGCACTTACAAGAATCAACCACTGAATGCATGACCACGTCTCCCTCTCCCCCCTTTCAATAAATAAAAAATAAAAATATATATGTGTTGAGTGCCCTGGGTATGTCAGGCTCTGTCCCAAGCCCTGGGAATGCCTTCGAGGACAGAAGAAAACAAATCAAAACCCTCATCCTTGAAACCTAGCTGGGCAAATTAAAATTTAAATGAGAAGAATCGGACACCCAGGACCTGACTTCCTTAAACAGGAAGCAGGCAAACCCCTGTGAGAGGGGTGGGCGGGGGCCCGAGATTGGATTCTAACGTGGACCGCCCTGCGGGATCCCTGGCGGATAATGAGGTTCAGTTTCTCCAAACGAACACCCCGCACGCCCGGCCTGAGCGGGGGGCGAGGCAGGATCCCCTGAGCTGTGTAACCGCCCTCTCAGCCCCCGGGCGGCGCGGCCCGGACCTCCGGGCTGCGGGGCAGGCACCCGGGTGCGCCCAGCCCGGCCCGCACCCCCACCGGGCGGCACCCCGGCCCGGGGAGGGCCGAGCACGTGGGAACCCGCTCCTCCGGCCTCGCCCGCTGCAATGCAATCTGGGTGGCTTTTCCAGGTCCCTCCCTGCCCGCTCCGCGCCGGCCCCCGCCCCAGCCCCCGCGGCGCCTGCGGGCCCCGAGGTTCGGGGATTAGGCGGGGCCGGGCCGCCGCTGGGAGCCCGCCGAGGGCTGCGGGGACCCTCTCGGACCCCGCACCCTGCAGCCCGGGAGGCGGTAGCACACGCTGCAGCCTGAACTGCAGGCGAGCGTGGTCCCGAGGCACCTGGCCGGGCCGCCCGGCCCCGCAGCCTGGCAGCTAGGAGTTCCGTCCGGCTCCCACCCCCTCCGCCCTCCCCCCGAACCCCATCCCCACCCCGAACCCGTATCCCCACCCCTTCCGCCCTCCCCCCGAACCCCCATCCCCACCCGCTCCGCCCTCCCCCCAACCCCCATTCCCACCCGCTCCACCCTCCCCCCGAACCCCATCCCCACCCCTTCCGCCCTCCCCCCGAACCCCCATCCCCACCCCTTCCGCCCTCCCCCCGAACCCCCATCCCCACCCCCTCCGCCCTCCCCCCGAACCCCATCCCCACCCCCTCCGCCTTCCCCCGAACCCCCATCCCCACCCCCTCCGCCCTCCGCCCGCGCTCCCGCACTCGCGTCCTGAAAGCCGGTTTCCTGTAGCGATCGCCGTGCGGTTCCTGACTTTTTATGATGATTATAAAGGGACAGGCACCTGGAAAGGTGGTAATAACCTCAGACGGAGCCGTGTTTCCCAAAACTAAGGTGTCAAAAAAAAAAAAAGAACACTAAGGTGTGCAGACGTCCCGATTTTTAACAAATTTTCCCGCGGCGTTTTAAAAATGTCCCGATTTTTGGGAAAGATTCTTTAAAATCTTTTGGACTTTTTTTTTTTTTTTAAACGCCGCGGGACAAATTGTTAAACACCGGGACATCTGGTCACCTTATCCAAAACGGATCGGTGGGAAACCTGAGGTTCCAGGAAACGTCCCCTCCAGCGCTTTCCTCCCCAAAATGCCAGCGGGACGCAGCGCACCGCGCTGCCTGCCGCCCGACGTGGGCCGGGCCAGCGCGGGGAGCCGGCCCCGGCCCACAGGGCCCCGGGCCCGGGGCTGATGGAGGGCGCGGGTCCGAGGGGAGCCGCGGGGCAGGAAGGCCGGCACACGGGGCCTGCGGGTGGCTGCACCTTAGTGAGGATCCGGGCGAGCCCACGGAGCGGGCCTGCTCGGCGGGAGGTGTGGGTCTGGATAAGGTGACCAGACGTCCCAGCTTTAAACAATCTGTCCCGCGGGTTTTAAAAAGGTCCCGATTTTCGGAACGCCGCGGGGCAGATTGTTAGGAATCGGGACGTCTGGTCACCTCACTCTGCAGGAGGCAGCCGGAACCTACGGGACCTGGCCCTTACGGGAGAAAAGGCGTGTGTGGGGGGAGGACGGGGGGTCCATGGTGCCCGCACGTCCTGCCGGGGGCCCAGCCGCCCGGCGGAGCTCAGAGGCCGGCCGCCGGGCCTCCGGGCTTCCCCTCCCGGAGGCGGGCAGCACCGGGGGCCCGGCCCGGCTGGAGGGGACGGCCCCGCAGGCCCGCCGTGTGCCCGGGCAGGCGCGCCGGGCTCGGGAGCGGCTTCTCGGGGCCCGGCCCCGCCACCGCCCGGCTGCCGGGGCGGCCCCTCCCTCCCTCCCTCCCTCCGCGGACGCGCCCTCCCCGGGCCCCGCGCCCTCCCCGGGCCCCGCGCCCCGCACCCGGCTTCCCCTCCGGACCCCTTCCGCCTCCCCGCGCCGCTCCTCCTCCTCCTCCCGGACCCTAGAACCTCCGGCTTCGTTCTCCTCCCAACCTCTCCACCTCCCGGTTACCTCCAAAGGCGTGACCCCCAAACCCCCAGCCCCCCGCGCCCTCTCCCCCTCACCCGGCTCCCTCCAGGCTCAGCCAGCCTCCGGGTGGCACAGCCTCTTCCCGCCAGCGCGTCTCCCTCTCCCCCACCTCCCCCTCCCTCCCGCCGCCCGGCGCCCCTCTCCATTCATCCCGCCATTGTCTCCCCCTCCTCCCCTCCCGGCTCCCTCCCCGCCGCTGCCACGTCGCGGTTTGAAGGAGCCAATGGGCGGCGCCGCCAGGTGCCTCTCACCTGCACCACGTGGGGGGCGGGGCGGCGGGCAGGTAGGGCCTCCTCCCCCAACAGGGGCTTTCAGCCATTGCCGCCGCCCGGGTGCACCCGCTCCGCGCACCGCGGGCAGGTCCCGGCGCCGCTCCCCCCGCCCTCCGCCCCTCCCTCCCTCCCTCCCGCGGGCTGAGCGCCGCCAGGTGTGGGCCGGACTGCAGGAGCCTGAGGAGCAGCAGCAGCAGGAGGAGGAGGAGGAGGAAGAGGAGCAGGAGCAGGAGGAGGAGGAGAGGAGGAGGAGCAGGAGGAGGAGGAGGGGTGGGGGTGGGCGCACTTTGCCTTTGCCTTTCCGGAGAGGGGTTCCGCGCCGGCCCTCCCGTCCGTCCTCCCTTCCGCTCCTCCCGGCCCCCCTCCCCGCTCCCCACCTGCCGTCATGACGGCGTCCCCGGACTACCTGGTGGTGCTGTTCGGAATCACGGCGGGCGCCTCCGGGGCCAAGCTGGGCTCGGACGAGAAGGAGCTGATCCTGCTGCTGTGGAAGGTGGTGGACCTGGCCAACAAGAAGGTGCGCCCCCTCTCCCCGGCCCCCGTGTCTGCCCGCGGCGGAGCGGCCCGCCGTCGGCGGTCGGGGAGCCCCGCTCGGTAAACAAGCGCCCGCGTTTGCTCGCCGGCGAGGCGGGACCCGGGGCCCAGGGGCCCGCAGGGGAGCCCCGTCCGGCGGCCCGCAGCCCGGGAGCCGTTCGCGCCCCCGAACCCGGCGCAGGTGGGGAGGCGGGCGCCGCCGCGCAGGGCCCCCCGGGGGGCCCCGGCGCCCGCTTCCGACCTGAGGATCCCCGGGTGGGGGTGGGGAGGGGTGGGATGGGGAGAGGGTGGAGGGGGTGGGGGGAGCCGGGCCGACCTCTCCGCCTCCGGAGCCGCCGGGCACGTGAGCTTTGACTGGGCGGCGGGGACCCCCCGGAGGCGCGGGCCGCCCCCCGGGGCGCGGGAAGGGGGTGGGAAGGCGGTGGGAAGGCGGCGGGGTGGGGAAAGGCCCCCCACCTTGGAGAAGGGGGAAACCACTCCCGCGGCTTCCCCTCCAGGTGGGCCCGCTGCACGAAGTGCTGGTGCGGCCGGAGCAGTCGGAGCTGACGGAGGAGTGCAAGGAGGAGACCCAGATCGACGCCGACAGCCTGGCCGCGGCGCCGCAGCTGGACCAAGCGCTCCGGCAGGTGACAGCCCCCCGGCCGCCCCCTACCCCGGCCCGGCCGCCCCCTACCCCCGGCCCGGCCGCCCCCTACCCCCGGCCCGGCCGCCCCTTACCCCCGGCCCGGCCGCCCCCTACCCCCGGCCCGGCCGCCTCCCTACCCCCGGCCCGGCCGCCCCGGCTCCCCGGCGGCGCCCCCGCCCGGCGCCCCCGCGCTCCCCGGGCGCAGTGACCGGCCGCGTGGGTGGGCATCCGCCGGGAGGCCCGGCGGGACCCCTGGGGAGGGAGGAGGCCGTTGTTCCTCTCCTCCCGGTCCCTTGGGGTCTTGGGCCACCATTCGGAGCTGCTTCCTGAGCCCGGTCCGGGGCCGGAGGCATCGGCTTCTCCCCATCGGGTGGGGGACGGAGTGCGATCCTAGCGCCCCATCCCGCGGCCCAGACCCCCGGGCGCCCCTGCCCTCCGCGGGGTTCGGGCCTGCGGCTCGGCCCCGGGTCCGGGGGCGCTGTGGGGTGGCCCCGGGGGAGGCCCCTGAGCTCCCGGAGGCTCGGTTCCGGGTCCGCGATGGCCGCTGAGGGCTGGCAGGCCCGGGCGTGCAGGGCGGGCCGCCTCCCGGGGCCCCGGGAAGGCAGAGGCGGAGGCGGAGGCGGCCCCCTCCTGGGATTCATGGAGGGGACCTCGCCGCAGGCGCTCCGGGGTCCCGGCCTCGGAGGGGAGGCGGGGCGAACACCTGGCACAGGTGCTGCCCGCACCTCCTGGCCGGCTGCCCATTAGCGAAGGGGAAGTCATCCTTTCTGAGCTGCGTTTCAGGAAGCGTGCTCCCCAGCTTTCCAGAGGTCTGTCTGTCCATCCACCCACCCCCATTGCCCAACTGGCATCCTCCTGAAGCCCTAGCACATCCAACCATTAAAAACAAAAACAAAAACAAAAAAAGAAAGAAAAAGAAAGAAAGAAAAGGAACACCAGGGAATGATGTAATCGGAAGGCAATCTGCTGATGAAACGAGCCCTGTGATTTAAAAGTCTTGGATTTTCCGCAGACATAGCAAGGGGGTAGGAGGCATTGACTGAATTCCCCGGAAAGCTTTCCCAGCTATAGGGGCGCCGGACAGTGTGGGAGCCCTGTCTTCCTCAAGGTGCCCCCCACGCGGCGCCCCTTTCCATAGCAGATAGTTGGATCGGCTCCGGTTATTATCGCCAAGGGGGGGGCCGCTTGGCCGAGTTTGCAGATCCTGCGTCCGTTGCATCCTGTGTCTTGTTCTTTTCAGTTTAACCAGTCCGTGAGCAATGAGCTCAATATCGGGGTGGGAACCTCTTTCTGCCTCTGCACGGACGGGCAGCTTCACGTGAGGCAGATCCTGCATCCGGAGGCTTCCAAGAAGGTACGAGTGCTGCTGGCTGGTGGCTGGAGGGGTTTTGTTGTTTTGTTTTGTTTTGTTTTTTTAATGGTTTTGATTTTGAAGAGATGGATAAGGGGAGTCATTGTTTCAGTTGTGAAAATGTTAAGTATTGTGTTTTGTGTGTTTTACCACAATTCAGAATTCACACTTTTCATAGAGACGTTTGAGATTGCAGTCGTTTTAGAGAAAATTTGGCGACAACCGCTAGACATTCTCCCTTTTCCAATGCATATTAGCTACTATTGCTGACACTGAAAAGTAGCTACAAGGAAGAGAGAACTGTATTGTAATACTCTGTAACATTCCCATCTACATGAAAATTGCTTTGTCTTAGGAAGGAAAGGGCAAAGGAAAAAAGTTCAATTAAACTTTTTAAGTAATAGTTCTCCTAATGTCATTTAAAAGGTTGTACTTAAAAAGTAAGACTTTACCGTATAACCAGTAAAATGCTAATTGTGGTATACTGAGCTTTCCCTGACTTAAAGTAAATGTTCAAGACTGATTGGACCCCGTATCAGAATAATAGGGCCAGCCCCATCTTTCACCTTTGCTTATCTTTCCGATAATGGAAGAGAGTTTGGGGTGCGAAAAGTACAATCTTATTGTAGATATAATGTGATTTCTCTCCCAGGGAAGAATGAGGGTTTGAGCATAGATAGCCACCCCAGGGTAGTCAATATTTGCTAATACAGTTCAGCTGATCAACCTGATTAGCTTGAGCTCTAACTTGAAAGGATGGAAAGTAATATATTTTTAGGGAAATTGCATGAGGTAATTCTTGCAATGAAAGATTTAGAATGACAGTTGATGTTGCAACTGAGTAGTCAGTGCAGATCTTTCTTTTTACTCCAGTAGGGGAGAGAGGAGAAATAACACGTATAATGATGATTTTTAAAGTTTGAAGGAGAAACTCAAGTTCCTGTATCTTGAGGATTGAGAAAAGCACTCCCTTTGTAGCAACCTTAGTAATTATTGGATTAAAGGGGGGAAGTATTTTTTGTTAATTAAATGTTAGACCAATTGCTATACCCTTGATCCAGAGATAGACATATATGAGGATTCTACCACTCCCCCATCCCCTCCCAACTCATATGAGGAGGGATAAAGCTTAATCCTTTCCCTGTTGGGCTGAAGAAAAACAGCTGGTTTTCTTATTTTAGTTAGGCTGTTTTGGATATGGGAAAAACCTCCAGAGGAAAATCAGACATTTTCCTGAGTCACTTGTATTAGGATTTTGATTAAAGACAGCAGAAACAATTAATTTAGTATAATAAAACAATTTAGAATCATAATGAACATTATCCTATTTGTTAAGGAAAAGTAGAGAAAATGGTAAAACAAAAAGTAAATAATCCTGCCACTGAGAATATATTAAAGTATTTTTCTCTGTTATGAACATATCTGGATATATTCTTTCAGATTTTTGTAAGAAAGCTTCAATTTTACAAGGAGCATTCACACTGCACAAACTTTCTAGCCTACTTTATAATTCAACACAATATGAGTATTTTCTGTAAGCACTAAATAAAATACTCAGCATCTTAAATGGATGCAACTATTTAAACCGATATTTTATTGTTGAATATGGAAGTCATTGTCATTATAAATAACTTTTAAGTGAGCATTTTTGTAAGCAATTGTGAGGATCCATGATTCTTTTGATAACTATTTTGAAAACTGGCCACGATACAGTGACAACCCTATATCAAATACAGTATGAGCAGGTTACATGTAATAGAATCCAAAAAGGGACATTTATATAAAGACACTCATTATTGCATAAATGTTATGGGTTGCAAACATTAAAAAGTTTTTATTTCCTTGACTTTCTAATGTACAAATGAGAAATTCACATTTGTAAGTAAACACAATGAGAGGTCTTGAACTTTTAAAGAAAAATCTAAGTTCAGTTTTAAAAAATCTTCAAGAGTTATTCAGTGAGGGCCCCCTCCCCTGGCGGTGAGAGGTGGGGGAAGAAGAAACAATAGTGTAATATTTGCCCAGACAGTTGCTTTGTATAATAAGCTTAAGAGTGGTGCTAGTGTCTAGGAATAGCAGGTAACTATATCTCCTTTGCCTTTGAAATTTATGATTTTTTAATTAGTCTTCTTAAGTATAGCCAGAATAATGGTCAGGAAAACTAATGTGGCACTGTAATTTGGCACAAAAATTAATTCTTTTCAGGTAATCAGGAATTCACTATCTTCATGTGATTTTGGTACAGAAAATATGCATTGTTAGAACCCAGTATTTAAAACTATGTTTTATAATTGAATCCTATGTTTAGTTACACCTTGTGAACATACGCATTTCTATCAGAACTGAAGGCTGATTTGCTGTCTGAAAATACAGGTGGACTAACATGATTACAAGTCGCAAAAGAGTGTAGTTTTATCAAACAGAACAGGTAAAACACAACCGCCCGAATGTATTACCGCTTCAGAAGTAATTGAATGGAATGTAAGCATTGTAACCCATTGCCTTAAACTAAGATGAATTTTTCCCATGTGAGTTGTTTATAAGGTAAAATACTATAAGGGAAAGTAAAAGCACTCTCTAACATTCAGTTTAAAAAATTGTGGTGAAATAGATTCACACTCAGTCCTTAGACTTGTGGTTAGTAGGGAAACAGTAAACTGAATTCACCTAGTTAACAATGTACACCTTGTCCTTCCTCAGAATGTATTATTGCCTGAATGCTTCTATTCCTTTTTTGATCTTCGGAAAGAATTCAAGAAGTGCTGCCCCGGCTCACCTGACATTGATAAACTGGATGTTGCAGCAATGACAGAGTGTATCCTTTCGGTGGCTACCCAAGTAGCATTTGAAAAGGTAGCTGCAGGGGGAAAATGGCAACGCAAAAAAAAAACAACACATTAATACATTTTTAACTTCAGCGTATGGATGAAAATGGCATGTCCTAACCTTGTCTATGTGCTGTGGGAAATAGTACAATTATAAGCGTCTGTTGAAGTATTTATAACTTGCTGACTTTGAATAGTGATTTAGTTAGATGAATCTTTGGGAGCTGAACACATCCAGAGTAGAATGCAGTTTCATATTGTGGGAGTGGTTTGGGTCTTCTTGGTTGTTGATGGATTGAAGAATGTGAAGACGTGATTTCTTGGATGCCAAGTCCAAGGCCACTTGTTCATGACTACCTTGAGTAGCCCTAGTTGCCATGTTTTGAGATAAAGTGAGATTGCTTTTTTTACCCCCCAAATTTTGTATTTACCAAGGTAGCTTACCTAATGCATTATGTGTTTAAAAGTAAATCTAATAATCGCAAGTCTAGTAATCATGAATGACCCATCATCTTTAATCCGGTGAGTCTTTAAAGTGCTAATTAGTAAGCAGTCATGTGCTAACATATCGGGAATGGAATACTGAGTAATAGAAGGGTTAGATGACACGCCCAAAGCCACTATGAGAATTGTCATGACGTTGGATTCATGTTGCTTTCAGGAGCTTGTGGATTATAGTTGTTTTTCTTAAACTTTCTCATTCTTTTTCAGGAGGTAAAGCCTGGTTTGGTTTTGTTTTTCATCTAAAGCCTGGTTTTGTTTTTTAAAAATATATTTTTACTGATTTCATACAGGAGGGGAGTAGGAGAGGGAGAGGGAGAGATGGAGAATGAGAGAGAGAGAAAGAGAGAGAGGAAATCAATGATGAGAGAATTATTAATCGGCTGCCTCATGCACACCTCCACCGGGGATCAAGCCTGTAACCTGGGCATGTGCCCTGACCAGAAATTGAACCAGTGTCCTTTTGGTTCATAGGTCAGTGCTCAACCACTGAGCCATGCTGGCTGGGCTAAAGCCTGTTTTTAAATTTATTTTCTTGATTGAAAAGGTTTGCATATTTTTCCTAAGCACTTATAAGTGGGTCAAACTCATTTTTCTTTATTTGCCTTCTTCCTGGAACCAGTTAACTGCAGTTTTGGTTTAGCTGGTTAGTAGCCAGATGTTGGTTAGCTGGTTTAGTTAGTTCCCTGTAGCGCTGGGAGAAGGGTGGAATAAGCACATTTTGTGGGAATTCTTTGTAAGAATTTCGTTAGAAAGTTGGGACAGCAGAAACATTCTTTTTGTTCTGTTGGTTTGAATGTTTGCATTCGTTAACTCTGGCTGTCATAACAAATACCATAGACAAGGCGAATTAACACAATTCTGGGATCTGGGGAGCCTAAGATCAGGATGTCAGTTTCTGCTTCCTCACTGTGTCTCACATGGGTGGGGGCAGGACAGAGTGGGAAATATTTATTTTCCTCTCTAAGGCCACAGATCTAACAAATGAAGTCCGCTTCCTAATGGCCTTAACAGCCTCCTGAACACTCTGTCTCCAGGGACAGTCGCATTGGGGGTTAGAGCATCAACAGACATTTTTGGGAGGGACTCAGTTCCGTTCATAGCAAATGCTAACCTACCTGATGCACCGGCTCTAAAGAGAGAACCAGAAATTCTAAAAAGTAAATGAACAAATAGTGGAGGGAAACACTTAATAAGTTATCTTAATTCAGAAAAAGACAGTTTGAGTAGGAAAGGCAGTTAAGAATCCTTTATCCCTGACTATTGTTTCCTCTTTTAGCAAAGAAACTTTTCCCTACGTCAGATACTAGTAATATATTTAGGTATTTTGGTTTTCTTAATTTGTTGACAGTTTAAGGAAAACTTGTTAGAAATTCATCCATTTTTTTTTTCTTCTCATTGGTTTCTTAAGTGTTTCACATATATAAGATTTGGGTTTATTATTCAACATTTTCAATGTGGTAACCCGGGCTTTTTACTTTTGTCCATGTTACTTTTTAAAATAAAACATTGCATTATCTGAGCGTTAGGTGAATGGGTAGGATTCTGTGCCACTTATTTTTTTGTCATTCCTTTTAATCCTAATTCTATAACTATTTTGTTGGTGGTTCTTTTTCAAATGCCATAGAGATGAAAATTATAACATGAGTTGTGAATGAAGAAGGGAAATCACTCCTGATTTCAGGCATAACACACGTGAACTTTTAGGAAGGCTCTCATAGCCATTAAATAACGCTTTCATTGAAAAAACTAGGGCTCTGGCTTGTTTGGCTCAGTGGATAGAGCATCAGCTTGGGGACTGAAGGTTGTGGGCTTGATAACTAGTAGTGGGTATGCAGGAGGCAGCCAATCAGTGATTCTCATCATTGATGTTTCTATCCCTCTTCCTTTCTAAAATCAATAAAAATATATTAAAAAAAAACAAACTAGGGACTTTTATATTTGTTTTAAAATAACTTAATTAAAGCCTAGTTTCTTTTGGCTTACTTTGGGAGAGTCTTAGATTTATAGTTTCATTACCAATCAGGAAGTGGATTTTAATCTTACATGTGTTTATTAATGCTTACTTATATGTTCTCTCTCCCCTCCCCCGCATTTAGCAGGTAAGAAATACTATTAAGATTTCCTAGGAGTAGCTTTTGTTTTACTTTGCTCCCTGTGATCAATTATTTTCTGATTCCTATTCAGAGGAATCATTATTTCCCTGAGTAAGCCACCAAACCAATTCGTCAGGTCAAAAGCAATTACATTGACTATCAGCTTGCCCTTATCTATGCAAAGGATTTCTACTGAAGAAGAGCTTTCCTGTTCTTTTAGACCATTAACATTTCCCTTTGAAATATGGAATTGGCCCTAAATTTGGAACCAGTAAAGATGGTCTTTACACATCCTTGGTGGTTTTGCCAAGTGGATGGAGAGTCACTTGCTCCTGAAGGATTTACCTGTTCTACCAGGCAAACCAGCAAGGGAGGGCTGCTCTTGCCAACCCTGGAAAGGAAGAGCACTTGTGCAGCTTAGCTTTCCTGCGAGAGTCACTGCCTCAGTTTTATCTCAGGTATTCCCGAATGAAAGCTTTGTGAGCTATCAGGTGCTGTGCAAACAAAAAAAGTGTAACCACTCTGATAAGAGAATGGGTTTTAGGAATTTCCTGAATGCAGTTCTGGCTCTTTTTTTTTTTTTTTTTTTTTTTAGCACTTATTTTCCCCCTTTGTTCTGGTTCTCAAGCCACTTCTGGGGTTAGTGTTGGGCCTCTGAGTTATGGCAGAGTCAGTGTCCCCTGCTCTTTGAGGTGTGCAGTCCCAGGGGGAGAGAAGACTGACTCAATAGGTGAACTGTGGCTGGTGTTTGTAAGGTTTTACTTGATCAGGTGAGGTGGCCCGGGGCCCCTGTGATCTGTTTGTTTTGGGGGAAGAAACTATCTTAGGTCCCTTATGGAAATTAATACTATTTGTCTCCTGATAAAAGGACGCCTTGCTTGTGGGACTGTACATAAATGAGTTACCCAGTTTTCAAAGAGTGTAACTGTACTGTATCCCCCTCATGTTGGATAGAATTAGTTTGTCCTGGTCTCTTGACCTGCTTTTTGTTTGCTTTGTTAATCCGTGAACTGATTTACTCTGGTCGATTCAGACCTCTCCTGTTCTGTTCACTCCACTTTGCCAAGCCTTTCCTGAGGACTTATTTTAATAACGTGTGGCCTTGTGAGGAGAGCAGGTGAAAGAAGAGAACTGTCTGCTGAGTGCTTACTCTCTGCCCCATCCAGAGCCTGACAACAGCCCAGTGGAGGGTGGTATCACTCCTTCTTACAGCTGGGAAGACAAAAGGCTTAGAGGTTTTATCTTTGATTAGTTAGGAGCGCCCGCATTTGATCCTGAGTCCGATGTAAAAGTCCTACTGGTTAACTAGGGAGTGATATTCTAAAATGTATAAAGATCATTTGAGGGTGGGGCAGGCATTTTAAGTAGATTATCTCTCTTATAAAATTAGGTTCTGTGTTTCCTGAGCACATATTAAACTAAATCAGCAGGAAAAGGAAGTTGATTCTGTAAAAATTCTATCCGGGGGTAGGGTATTGCATCTGTAGGGATTGTTTGACATTATTAGCAAACGAGGTCTGGTGCACAGAACCCGGCACTGGTGGGTGGGTTTGGCATGGCCTATGGAGAGAGGCCTTCTGTGGGAGCGCACTGACCACCAGGGGGCAGCTCCTGTGTTGAGTGTCTGCCTCCTGGTGGTCAGTGCGCATCGTAGCAACTGGTTGACTGGCTCTTCTGGTCATTTTGCCTTTTGGTTGCTGGACTTTTATATTGGATATCATTGTACTAGTGCAGCTTTTCATTATCAGGGTAAAAAAAAAAAAAAGTCACTAAACCACAGTTAACTGCCCATCCAGGGATTATTGGAGGAGTGAGCCCGTGTTTATATGTGTTTTATCCCTTCTCAGTGAGGGTAAAGGATATGTGTACGTCACATGCCACTAACGCAGTGACACTGGCACGTTTTTTTCATTTGTTAACAGTGTTCCTGTATAGCCGCGTGCTTAAGAACACAAGCTCCGCAGTCGAATTTGTAGGGGGCGACTTTACTGCACCTCTCTGCCTCAGTTTCTCTGTCTGAAATGGGCACGGCTGTTGTAAGGAATGATGAGACAGTGTATGCAGCGGCTTTTGCCAGTGCCTGGGCTGCCGCACACCCTCTGAGGTTGACTGTGGTCCCTCAGACCTCACCAGGTTGTTTGTTGGGTGTCTCTGATGTAGAAAAACAGCCGCCAGAAACTCTAGAAAAGGACTTCCTTATTGACTTAAGACCATGTCTACATTACGCCTAACACTTCTTTAACTCTGTGTGAGGCCGGATATAGCCCTTTGAAAGCACCGCCTGCATGTTAATACAGGCACTGACTGTACTAACTGGGCCACTGTCACTTCGCTGGGTGTTGTGAGTGTGGCTCACTCCGCCCTCACGTGCCTATTGGTTCTGATAGATTGAA